TCTATCTATCTATCTATCTATCTATCTATCTATCTATCTATCTATCTATCTATCTATCTATCTATCGGATTGTTGGGGGCGATATGCTGACCCTGTAAACGCTTAGAGAGGGCTGAAAGCCCTATGAAGCGGTATATAAGTCTAACTGCTATTGCTATTGCTATTCAAATCTCACCAGGTTGACTCAAGGTAGACTCAGCCTTCCATCCTTCCGAGGTGGGTAAAATGAGGACCCAGATTGTTGGGGGAAAAGAGGCTGACTGTGTAAACTGCTTGGAGAGGGCTGTAAAAGCACCGTGAAGCGGTAGATAAGTCTAGGTGCTATTGCTATTAGCAGGCAGCGCAAGTAATCCCCTCTGGAGGAAAGTCCCCCTCTTCTGTTTGGGATCAAAGTTATTGGTCTAAAGATCTGTGCCTAAAGGGTCGGCCGGGTGGGGCCAAAGTGCAGAATCCGGCCTCCAGCTGGGCACCGCCTGCTCCTGCCTTCCACCCCATTCCAAGGGAGAAAAAGGGGAAGGAGGAGAGCCGGAGAAGAGGCCTCATCCCTCGTGGACGGAGGAAACGAGACACGTGCGCTTAGGTGCAAAGTAGTACCTTGACAAGCCCTGCTTCAGACCCATCGCGATCGAAGGTCTGACGCGCTTTGGCAATGGCCAGGATCACCCCTTGCATGGCGGGGCTAAGCATCACCTGCCACAGAGAAGGAGGAAGAGGAAAGGGAGGGAGGGAGAGAGAGAGACAGAGAAGAGAGAGAGGAGGGGGGGAAAGGCTGGATTGAAACAAGCTCTCTGTCATCCTACAGGCAAAAGATCCGAGTTCAGCTGAGGGAGGATATTGTATCCAGATCCTTGGGAGGCGACTGACGGAAGAGGATTTGATAGGGTTCAAATGTGGGGATCCTCCCTTGAGCTTGGTTGTCATCTTGAAGACATCTCGTGACCCAACTCGGTAACACCGTCAGTGCTGCAAGGCAGTGGGGGAATTGGGCTTCCACTACTGACGACGTTACTGAGTTGGGTCAAGAAATGTCTGCAAGATGACAACCCAGTTCAGAGAGCACCAAGGACCATCATGAGAACCAAGAGCGATAAACAAGGAGCCTCTCCATGCAGCACAGCCGCACGGTCAGCCCTGAAGGGAATCCGGCTGATTAAAGTGGGTACTTATCAGCCTTATCCCGAAGGACTTTGGCAGACTACTGTAGGACTCTTTACAAACTATTTTGGGACTTATTACAGGCTGTGAACAAACATTAATTCACAGCTGTTGAAATAAAAATAAAGGTTTTGGGGACTAAGCATGTGCTTTTTACTGCATCCGGAAGACTACGTCAGAACAATAGGTGGTACCTCCTCGTTATAGCCATCCGCATCCGATCTAACTAGGATCTTCCCCACGCTGGGAATCTCCACTTCCGAGACTTGAGAGGTGAGCGGGGCAGAAGGCTCCCTCCGCTCCGCTTCCTGGGGCTCTTCTGCCTGCGGCATGGGGCTGACTTCCTCTGAGGGGGCCTTCTCTGCATCTGCCTCCTTGGGCTGTGGCAGCATCGAGGGTTGGGGGGGGGGAGAGGAGAGGGAGGAAGAAGAGGAAGAGGAGGCGGAGACAGGAGTGAGAGGAAGGCCAGAGGAGCAGCACAAGAGGCCCAAGGAGGGCAAGAGGCTCAGCAGGACAGGTGGGAAGAGGACCGCTGACGAT